TTAGGCTCCTCAGCCTCACCTCCTGGCTTGCACGAATGACACGGGTAGATCTTGGTGGGAGTAGGCGTTCTATTAAGAAATAAAATTAAAAATAATAATATGGGCTATGTGGGTGTGCTTATCAGATCATCTGCGAAAAAGTCTAGAACAAGGAGAATACATTTGTTCGTATCAGATGGAGGTTCCTCTGAGTGCAAAATCTCATTAGCATAGTAACATGGAATCATGGGGCTTGCACAGTGTTGCTGTTGTGCAAGTGGTGATCTTCATAAATAAGAAATAAAATTAAAAATAATAATATGGGCTATGTGGGTGTGCTTATCAGATCATCTGCGAAAAAGTCTAGAACAAGGAGAATACATTTGTTCGTATCAGATGGAGGTTCCTCTGAGTGCAAAATCTCATTAGCATAGTAACATGGAATCATGGGGCTTGCACAGTGTTGCTGTTGTGCAAGTGGTGATCTTCATAAAGAAAAGCAGCCTCCACTTATACAAAGAGTACAATCCCCCTGCTACTACACTGGCAGGACTTTCTGCTTTGCAGAAGCTCAGTAGGGTACTGATCAAAGATTTCTGAGAAATATAGCAATCTTACTGTAGCTGTTTCTTTCAGAAGCCAAAGCTCCTCCTGTCTCCAAGAAGGGGGTTAAAGAAGCAGAGTCTCTCAATGCCTGCCCCCCAGGTGTCTTGTACTACTATGACCCCCTATCATCTCTTGCTGAGGATCATAGGAGTCATACACAAAAATGTCTGCTGGGTGCCAGGTTAGGGAAAACAGGGGAGAGAGAGCAGATACCTCGATTCAAATGAAAAAGTCTGCTTTCTATGGAACAGGATTATTCCCCAGCAATAATGAAGTGTTGCAATGTATTAGTTACTGTGGGATCACCTGCTACTGTATGAACATCCTGAAGAACTGCATGTTAAAGAGACAGCATGGATAGTCTGGGAAGCCATCCATTTGTATAACTACTGCTGATTTTTTGACCAGAAAGGCTTGTGAGTTTCAGCCTGTAAAGAAATGCCATGCTTTACTGATGCCTTTATCCTTACAAAACAGTATGGATTATGCCAGTCTCAGCATGAAGTGCAAGGAAGCAGAACACAAGTATCTGTGGGTGTTGCTACAACTTGCTGTGAAAAAAAGGGCAACATAATTACTCAGAAGGAAGTTACCATGGGGATACAGGGGATACGGGACAAATCATTCTACCCAACACTCCCTCTTGCTGTGCTTCTTATGTAACCACAATGTTTTTTTTTCCATACAGAAGACCCTTCTGCATCTACCCCCCACCCTTGTTACTTGGATTTTCCATTCTTGGTGCTCCTTGGCTTGTTCATACCTCCAAGTATTGCAAGAAAAGTAGGCTGCAGTCAGTGGCAGCTTATCGTCAATAAAATATTAGTCATTAAGGTGCTATAAGACTTTTTTTGCTGGTTTTGCTTCAGTAGATTAAGACAGCTGCCCTCTCTAAATTCCTTGCAATATGGTGAGGACAAGAATTGAGGCTGATATGGATTTGAACTCTGACTGCTACCAAGGTGTGTACAGTATTTGCCTCTTCTATATAAAAAAAGGGTATGTATGACAAGATGCCTCAGAACTTTGTCCCCTCAAACATAGGAGGTTAGCATGACTAATGGCTTTAAGAAGTGGAATATCATGGAATGAATGTCATAGCACCTGTTCAGTACACTTTTTTACCTAGGGATAGCTATTTTTTAGATTTCATAGATAAGGTAGTAGATTAAGAGATAAGACTTAGAGCAAGATCCCATTGTTTTATCTTAACCAATGTCTAATTCCAGTTCCAAGAGAGGAAATGTCTATTTATTTATAATAAATACGAGCATTTGTTTTGTTTTGTTTGTATTTGGTAACAGGGCCTGTGGCGCTTTGGTCTTCTGGGTGTTTTGGCCCACAAACTCCAACCGTCAAAGCCAAAGGCAAGCTTCAGTTCAAAACATCTGGAAGGTTACCCCTAAGAAATAATTCCACATAGCAAAAGCAGAGGCTCACTCTTCCTCCTGGTCTGAGGAAATGGACTTGTCCACAAAAGCTCACCTTAAAACATAGCAGTTAATCTTTAAGGTGCCACAACATTTTGGTCTTGTCTTTTTCTTTTCCTTCCACCTGATATACTAGTAGAGACTCACATGACTACCTCTTCTAAATCTCGTCCTTGGCTGTTCCAGCATGGCACCCCTGCTCATCTCCTCCCCCACTGCTTGCACCTCTGTATGGTAAACTTTTTAAATAATTTTATACTTTGTGTTAACTGCTGGATAGTTCAGTGGTTTAGACATTTGGCTGCTGAGCCAGAGGTTGGGAGTTTGATTCCCCAATGTGCCTCCTTGACACAGGCTGGACTCCATGATCCATAGGGTCCCTTCTAGCTCTGTAGATCTAAGATTATTATTATTATCATCATCATCACCTCAGAGGCTCACCACTTCCCTGCTATACCAATTAGGGGTGGCAGCATTCTCCTCCATTATAAAATTCAAATGCAGACTTTGGGTTGTTATTTTGTTTGTTGAGTTTGGAATGAACACGTCCCCCTCCCTCTCATAATGTTTGTCCTGATTTTTGGAATGATTTTCATAGTGACCTTTGCTTGTAATGTATTACTTGGGATGAGTTATTCACAGAGCTTGAACGAAGTTGTCCTAAGAACCTATATCTCCAGGAAACTTCACTGTAACACAGGCCATGTCTTTCTGTATGAAGTGTGAATTACACATTTTTGCACATATACTTTCACAGGAAATATTTACAAAAGTCATCTCAGTGATACAAAATATAATAGAATAACTCTCAAATTGATTCATCATGAGCATTCCATGGCCCAGTTCTTTTTAATATTTAGCTTTTGCTAGGCAAGGGAATATTGTAAATATAAGTGATTAATAGTTTTAGGCTGCAATCTGTACCCGCTTACTTAGGACCAAAGCACTGGCATTTCCTTCTGCCTAGATATTTATAGGGTGGTACTGAAAATATTTCCATTTGTCTACCCCCCCAACCTAGTTTTGCAGTTCTATTTTGAAAAGGGTCAGCAACCCTAAACTGGGTGAATTTGGTACCACTCTGAGCCCTTAAAATGATTATTTAACTTTCCTTTTTTGAAAGTGTATTAAAATACAGTAATGTATTTAACACTGCAACACTAGTTCATATGTTAATGGAAGAGATGCTGGTTCATATTTTGCTCCATATCTTTTGTATTCCAGGTATAGTGCCATATGATCCCAGAGGCTTCCTGCATCAGCAGTGGATTGGACTTGATGACCCTTCAGGTCCCTTCCAGCCCTATGATTTTGCAAGGTGCTCTGTCTTTCTTAACTGTGTTTTCTTCTCTTGCCCTTCACTCTTCCTCAGCAGCCATAGCTATGTTTCCTCATCTCATCACTTTAAGCTGCTTATTCCAAAACAGGAAGCTGCTTAGAATTAGGGTTTTAATGCCCTGATCCCAGCCTCCCTGCTGTCACCTGGATGGAACCCATGCTGCAAAAAAGTACAGGACCACTTGATCTGTGCCCAGCTTCAGCTGTTTGACAAACACACTTCTTGTTTCCGAGGAAGTGTTATCTCAAGAAGCTGTCCTGTAGAGACAAGGGTCTAAAACTGTGTTTCCTTCTTACTTGTGGTTCATGGCTGTGGTTTTGTATTCCTCAAGATTAGTGGTGGCTGAACCAAGGAACAGCAGTGGCAAATAAAAAAAAATATTGTTGGAAGGAGGACATTTTTATTTTTTGACTCCCCAGGAACAGGATGGATGAATTACATTTCTTGTCTTGCCATGATGTCTGTCTTCCTGTATCCCTTAGGCTTCAGTGCCTTGAAGGTCTTTGCTTTTCAGACCACTTTTGAGTGTACTGTCACAAATGGTTCCTTTCCTTTTTCCAGTGAGAACCATGTTCATTGCTGCTTGTTTCTGTGCTACGTTTGCACTTAAATGATCTATTTCATGATTGTAGAAATCAGAAAGAATTGCTAACTACTCATGATTGGATGAAAATGTTCCTTAATCACAGATATTCCTGTTGCAGACAACCTGTTTGCCACCTCTTCTTAGCAAATCTTCATTAGCAACTTTCTTCCCATTAATTTGCCTCTGGGTTAGTTTAAGGTTGAACTGATCTTTATAGCTATGAATCACAGTTGGTTAATATCCAGATGAGTTCATTGATGTTGCAGTCAGGCACTCAGGTAGAAGTACAGTCATAATGGGACATCATTGTTAATACTTGGAAGGTCAATAGCTATAAAAGTAGCTGATCTTCCAGGCCAGCTTTGGGAAGGAAGAAGAATCTAAGCACCAGAGAAGAAGGTATACGGGGGCATTACACTAAAGCCATTAGCTTCACAGAAAGTTTTAACGTAGAAAATAAAACAAACTGTAAATGGGATCCATTTAGAACAGACACGGTTAATTCTGGTGGATCATGTTAGCCACTCTAAGTATGAACTACATGGTTCTACTGTAAGTACATAGGACTAAATCTGAATCCATCTTAACTTATCTCTCCAATAAGGGTGTCCTGAATTAGCAGTGAAGCTAATATGACACTAGAAGTGACTGAAAGAGAGGCACCATGTGGGCTATAAACCTGCTAAGCCTTGGATGGCACACGCCACTGTTGATACAAAGAGCACTTGGAATGAATCAAATTCAGGGACAGCCATGTTGAAACAGAACAAATGACAACATCTGTAGTAATGTGAATCCCTTATGAGGCCAACAAAAAAGGCATACAAATGTATATAACCACAAATTATCCTGCTTACTTTCTACATCTTTCATAATGACAACAGTTGTTAGTGCTTCTGGACACTTTGTGTGCCTTTTTGGCTGGCCTAATGAAGATATACCTGGCTGTGAAGCCAGAGGTTGGGAATTTGATTCCTCACTGTGCCTTCCTGGGAGAAGAGCCAGCCTGTGTAGTTATGAACAAACTGAACAGTCTCAGGATGCCCCCAAAAGAAGGGGGTGGTAAACCACTTCTGTCTATTCTATACCTAGAAAACCTTGGAAAGGGTCACCATAAGTCAGAATTGACTTGATTTGCAATTGTTAATGATAAAGCTACCACCTTATTATGGATTTTGGAAGTGGAATCGATATTTTTTCCTCAAAAGGGACATACTCTAAAGCAACCACAATACTAAAGCAAATCCACCAGCCTTTTATAATCAACTGCATGAGCTATAAAATGCCCTCTAAAGGAGCAAGATGGGATCTACATGAATCAGCACCACAAAGTCAAGTATCAAGAAGGACTTTAGTGTTCATGCATACAAACGACAGCTGTATCTCAACATATCCTCCCATTCTTGAACCTTAAAACAGTCCTTGTGGACTGGTGATTAAAAAAGGTTAAGATTGGTTAAATTGCAAACTATATTTCAGTAGAGTCAAGTATAAATTCTGGACATCTGTTATGGTGAATGTTTTCAAATATATTTTCTTATGTAAAAAATTAAAGAACTCTCCCAAAATAAGCGTTATGTTATGCAAAAGAGATAAGATTTGTATGCAAGATACTGATTTTTGCAGCTGCTAAAATTGCAACCCTACCCCTATCCCTTCAGTTTCCCTTTCTTTCTCTCCAGCCCTTGTCCCTTCTCAGAAATGCATAATCTCTTCTGACAACCATGGTGCCCCTGGACTGCTTTGCTGGAGAGGGTGTTTGTTGACCTTTTACTGCATCCAGCAAGCTGAGATATCTGAGTTCTTGCTAATCGGCTGATTTAGGAAGTCATCAACCTAATGAAAAACCATCTGGTCCTACTTAGGAAGACATTTTCTAGATTTTATTTTTAAATGATGTTTCTTTTTGTGCATCAAAGTAATCCCAGATCATTCTGATTCTCTCCCATATAGCTGTCTCCATTCCATGTTCCTTCTGGCAAAAGCAGAACTGAAAGACAAGCCATCATTTCTTTTCTACAGATACGAAGCCTTGCCCTACCATTTTTGAGGCAAGTGCCTCATTTGGCAGGTATGCAAAAGCAGGGAAGGGTAGTGGGGGCAAGGTGTTGGAGGAAAACTTGCCCTGAACCCCTTAACTAATCTGCTGTGCTCACGTGTAATGGATGATGCTGTTCTTTCACCTGTGTAAGAAGTAAGATTCAGCTACCATTCCCTTCAATGTCTGCACCCGGAATGATGCGACACACCATTTTGAACTTTACCTCAGGCAGATGAATGACTTGGGCCAGCTTTGATTGATAGCCAACTGAGATTAAATACTTTCCTGTACTATCTCCTATGTTACTGGCACAAAATGGCTAAGATTTTACTTCATTAGTTGTTGTTGGCTGCATGGACCTGCAGACTAGCAAGCTCTACATACACCCATCTTCTGCTACTTGCTCACCGGTGCCAGAATCCACAGGCAGCCCCCACCCTCTGTTAGAAGAGCCAAGGATTGCACCTAAGAATGAACAGTCCATTACAGCACACCTACCTAGCAGTAGCAGCTTCACTGTCTTTGCCTCTTTGTCCGCATCTTCTTGTAGCTTCTTTTCCAGCTCCTTGGACCTTTTGGCAAGTTCCTTGTCTTCCGCACTTGCTCCACTCCCCATTTCCCCACCTTCCTCCTCCTCCTCCTCCTCCACTGGTTCCTCTAACTCCTCTAACACTTTGGCTTGTTCCAGTTCTTCAGATTGATCAGGTCACCCTTTACTGGGTGGGAAGAATGAGAGATGGAAATAAAACAGAGATGCTGAACTCTCCACCTTGGGAGGGAAGGGGCTCCACAGAGCTGCCTCCCTCCAGAGTTGTACTCCAAAAGGCTGCTGGTCCAAGACTGCTAAGAAGGTAGCATCAAAGCCTTTCTCCTTGCTTTGTGCTCTTTCTTCCCCTCCCCCACCCATCCTTAAGTCTTCATGGATAACCCAATTTTCTTACCCTGGATTGAGGACTTTTTATCTCACCATGTGACCTGGGAAATCCAATTATAAAAGCCCAAGATGGCAAAGATTAATGGCTGGCAAAGAAGAACATTGAACCCAAGCTGTGTGATATGGTGAAGGTGGTTATGTAACACGAATGAAGCATGAGCCCTCACTGTGCACCCATGGAGGCCAGGACTAACTGTTCCTGCTCACAGCCCGAATCCCCAGGGATGAGGACCTGACTTTCTATGCCTCTTCTTTCTCCGGATTCTGTGGAGGCCCCTTAAGGAATGCTGAGACCTGATGTGGGAAGTAGCTTAAGAATAAAAGGATACACCAGTTGCCCTGTTTTGGGCAGCTGCCATCCAGTAAGCCAAAGAGCAGTTATCCCCAACAGGTGTCACTTAGAGAGTATGTAGATGGCATCCCTGAAATGCATGTGTAACTAGAGGCAGCTATTTCTGTTCTCTTGTTATTCTCCCCCACGCAGTCAGGAGGTGTACAGAATTCTGACCACTTCCTTTCTGTCTATGTTCTCCCTTCCTTAGACAGGGTGGCCGAGTCGTCTCTTTCCCAAATTGCAGCAGGTGGCCTCTGTGTATGTCGCAGCTGCAAGGAAGGTAGGCATCGGAGGCTTTTGTGGGGACTGGCCTACGGGCCTGGTGTTGCCTATTCCAGTGCTTCTGGGGAAGTGTACTTTTCCTAGGGATACAAAGATAAAAATGGATGTTCAGTCAGTGGCAGACCTACATTTTTAGGGTCCTGGAACTTGAACTGTTACGGGGGTCCCTTTGCAACCAGCAACGAGATCTGGTTAACAATTGTCATCTTTTTATATGGGCTTTGTTCCACAACAGATCACCACAATTGTTTTTTTTTAAAGTGGACTAAAGGAATTTCTGAGGACCCTGGGGATTGGGGCCCTGAAGCTTAAGCTTCATTAGTTTCATAGTAGATCCATTCCCATATTTGGTTTATCATGCAGGGAGTAATAAACTCTTCTGGTTTTTATTTGCTGTTTGCCGCTGTAGGGCTGCACAAAGGGAAGGAAGTTCTCAGTTCTGAAACCAAGCTTTGGGCTTTGCAACTGTGTGAGATGTGTCTCTGTACCTGTGTGTTTCTGGTTATAACTGGCTGTGAACAACTGCTTTATTTTCATTTTCTTTTTTGAAGGACATCTCTCTCTCTCTTTCTCTCTCTTCCCTTCCCCCTTTTTTCCACCTTCATTACAGACTTGTTCTATATGGGGAATAAAATATAATTCACCGAGGTGGGTTTAATCCTTAAATGCTGGCAAGAATTGCACACGCTCATCAGGCTTCTCTCCATCCTGCCATTTAAGCTCTTTATAGTGTTAGCTTTGCTTACTCAATCCTCCCCCCCCTTCCTGAAGCAAACTCCTCCATTTTGAGAGGCTTGCAGCCCTCGAAAGCTCAGGAGATCTCTTATGCTGGGGGCGATGCCTCAGGAAGAGCTCCTTCTAAAACCTCTCACCAAGTTCAGACAGCTGCATTGCCAGATGTTCCCTCCTGCCACTCTTCCCAAATCTGTTGTTTTTGCCATGCAAAAATCACCCTGATTTTTATTCTTGTTTTCCTAATGAATAATAGTTGGAACACTTTATTGCTGATTCGTCGCTTTCAGTTCCATTCTCTAAAAAAAACTGAGTGTAGGTTTGTTGATAAAACACTGAGATGTATGGGAAGCAGAAGAATTTGTTTGGCTGTGGATGCATATTTATCTTTTCTGCTAGCATGACAGCTGGTGGTCTGTTGGTTTGTCTTGATGAGTCCATGTAGTGGCTAAACCTTTTCCTGGAAATCTGGTCTCCAAATTAACTCTTCTAAATTAGATTTCAATTGGTTCCTTCCCCCCACACACACACACAAATACTGCAGAGAATACTTTAGATGCCCTGCCTTACACTCTGCCGACTTCCCACACATTCACAGCATATGAGACAACACATGATATTTTATATTTCTATTGTAGCACCCAGCTGTAGAATTGTCTCCCCTCTGCAATACGGTTGCACCAGTCTTGGTGGTAATTCAGCCTCAGTTTGAAAATGTGCTTTTATCAACAAACATTCACTTGTCTGAACATTGAATTTTTTTGGATTTTATGGCGGATTCTTATATTCCTGTTTTAATTTTGTTGATGGCCAGTGGAACATAATTTTATGAATATAAGGTGATATACTGTACAGCTATATCAAATGAAAAAAAAAGCCAACTCATGTGTTGTATTTTTTTCAATAGCCATCCCTCAGTTTTTTTCTTTCTTGTTTTAAAGCCAGGGAAGAGGTACCATTAAGAGCCAAACCAAATATATACACGTACAGGTTTGAGCATTTCCTTCAAAGTGGGAGGTTTGCAACAAGCCTGAAAAGGGAATCAAATCTTTTCAACCTCTGTTGCAGTCATAGGGTATATATATATACCTTGATTAAAATGAATCTATATAAGCTGAAAAGGGAATCAAACCTTTTCAACCTCTGTTGCAGTCATAGGGAAAAATATATAAATACCTTGATTAAAATGAATCTATATAAGCAAACCTAAATGCAATCAAAGCAATGTTTATTGAATGAATAATAAAAGACCCTCCATGATTTTCTTTATATGATTTACCTACAAACGCATAAATAAGCTTTGTTATATTGGATAACACTGATCTAATTGTCATATTTGGTACAGTGAGGAACAAATCCTCTGGTGGCAGCAGAAAAGAATGCTTATTTTGAAGCTGGTATTTAGTTTGCAAGGGAACCCTTCCCTATCCCCGTTGCCACCACTCAGGTTTTCTCTCAGAGTATAGACAAATGTCAGGAGAGGGATTTCCCCTCCTTCGTACCCACCAGAGAAGTAAAGAAGGGAACCCTTCCCCATCCCCTGCCACTCAGGTTTTCTCTCAGGGTATAGACAAACGTCAGGAGAGGGATTCCCCCTCCTTCGTACCCACCAGAGAAGTAAAGGGTTTAATCCTGTTCCCATGCCTGCTGCATATTAAAGACCAATACACATTTCATTTTTTTCAGGTTTGGCTCTAACCCTGTCTAACACCCATGTTCATGATCTTTTCCATGCATGTGCATTAACAGGAACAGGCATGTGCCAAAGAAGAGTACCCACTCTCTTAAAGGTCTGCCTGTCCACTATCTCCTTTGCCATGGGCCCTGCTTTTCCAACCAATTGCATGCCCTTCTTGGGTGGGGATTCATTTGCTGAGCACCTCTTATGAAAGCATGCTAATAGGCAACAACCTCAAATAACCTTTCTGCTAACGGAGTCTGAAGATATGCTGCCAGGCGACTAGCCTCATTAATAAAATAAATGGTCTGCTTTGTGTCACATTGGGAGCTCAAGTTGGAAGTCTGTTCGTCCCTGGAGTTCGGCACTGGGTCTTCCAATCACAGTAAGCTTCAGGACTTCCCTTTTCCCCTTGATGCCAGGCCACACACTTGTCTGAATGCTTGTTTCCTTTATCCCAGATATACGGATCAATAATACTGGTTGGGATTACTTAAGATGAAGGAAAACAAGTTTGCCTACACCCTGTCGTTTCTTCTCCAGGACTGCTCCACTTCTCCCATGAACAAAGTCCTGCTTCAAACTAAATCCAGATGGCTTTCCTAAATAAAGAAAAATCTTGTTTTAATCCCTTGAAGGGAAATTAAAACAAAAGATCAGATCTGTGGCCTGCCAGTGCTCACTCTCAGAGAAGTGAGGCAGTGGGATCCCCCCTGGGCCAACAGAATGAGGGTTGAGAAAAGACTGGATTGCCATTATGCTGATTGCTGGAAGACTAAAACTCCACAAGTCTAGTTTTACCCATTAGTGCGGAAACGAAGAACACTACTTCTCTTTGACATTGCTTCGCCTCAGAGCTTTTTAAAGCAAGAGAAGCTCTTTTTTTTTTTTTTGCTTTGAACTGAGATGAACATGTGTAGCATAGATCTCAGACGTTGTGGTGGAATAATGGGGAGGGCTTCTGGCACCATTCCATGCATGACAACAACACTTCTGATTCTCTTGTGTCATTCATGTCCACACAGTTTCTTCCTAGCATTTAGACCAGAAGTGTGTGCATTGTTCTGGATAATGTATCCAGGATAGAGCACGATGGATCTGTATCCCGCAGTTTCACTCCTCTAACATAGTGGGTTTTGTGCAAGTGATTGCATATCTTCTGAGTCAGCACAATGGTGGTATCCATCCAATCTAGTAGTATTTCTCTCTCTTTCACACAGGTTAGTGTTATGTTGGACATTGGCTGCAGTCCTTTCCATTTGAGACACTGTTGGAAAAAGAAGAAATAGCCAGCTATTGGTTGTTTCCAGCCTACCTCTTTTTACTTTTTGCTCTGTTATTCAAAGCACTTTAGTGTCTGGCCAGTTGTTTCCTTGCATTTGCAAGGCCTAATACTAGACTACTTGGTGTCTGGAAGAACGGCTGGGCCACCTCCTTTCCCTCAGTTAGTGTACTAATGGATACATTTTCTCATTGGCCCCATCCATGGCTTCTGCACGTTCATTAGATCACACAAACACTACTACCTTTTACATATGGATTCAAAAGCGAGTCCCACTGAGTCCAATAGGACCTTTTCACAGTTAAATGTGTAGAAGAATATGTGAAGGATTCTACACATACCTGCCTAGAAAACCCCTACCCTGGTCACACTGGAATCAATAGAAGTCCCACTGCCTTTACTATGAGACTGACTTGGAGTAAATATGCTTAGAATTGCCGCCATCGCCTGATGCTCCTCCATG